GGACCATACAACGATGACAGATCTGGGGAATACAGACTGAGACTCGGACTAAATACACAAGACTAGGTAACAGAACGAGCTACAGGTGGGAACAATTAGGGCGAAACAGGAGGTAATGAGGTGGGCGTGGCACACATCGGGAGCGGACGGAGCGGGGCGTGACACCAGGTTATCAACAAATATATAAATTTGTACATGAAGTCCTAAATCAGTCTCTTTAGGGAAAAAAACACAATGCTGTTCAACCACACTTAGTGAATATTGGTTTTAATATGACTTTCTGTACCATATCAAATTTCGGTAACACTTAAGGCCATGTTCTTAGTAACTTATAAACACATAATGCATTATAAAGCATTCGTAAAGAATTATAAACATGGCTATAAATATTTAGAAAAAGGCATAACACATTAGCCATGTTTATTAAGCATTATGACTGCCTTATGAAGCTCTCATTTATAATGCACTATACAGTATATACCTTTATAATGCAGTACCAAGCATCCTTAATTATTGTATCGACTATTATAATGCATTATAGATGAACGCATCATCGTATAGCTATAATGTGTTTGTAATGGCGTTCGAAATTTATAGCCATGTTTATAATACTTTATGAATACATTATTATGTGTTATGAATGTGTTTATAAATTACTAAAAACATGGCCTTAAACATGGCATACTCCCATGTACTGTTTGATGTATATAAACAAACAATCATCATTTTCCTCTCTGCAACGCACAGTTTCATATAAACTTGCTCTCCACTGAAAAAAAAGTGAGTATCCTCACACCTGCCTGAGGTCATTCAGTTTGTGGATCCCCAGAGTGGGAGACACTCCACCCCGGATCAAGACGTTTGTTCCAGCGGCAGTTCTGGGGGAGGCCAAGGGGGGCCAGTGCCCCTTCACAACATATATGGCTCCCTAAATTCGTATGCTACTAAAGTCTGAAATAAATAAATATTATTGTTATTATTATTGTTATTATTTTTACTACTACTACTATTAATGTTATTATTACTATTGTCTGTATTATTATTATTTGCATTATTATTATTTACATTTTTATATGTGGGCTCAAACTTTGTGCACTGGGTACAGGCGAAACACAAACGTAAACACGTTTTCTTGACGGACTCAACATGGTTGCGCCGGTTGGTCGAGTCGCTTCAGTTTGGTGAAAATCAAAGTTAATAACGAAAAAAAAAAATCAAGCTTGTGGAAGCAAGACCATCTAAAGTTGTGCTTTACTTCTTAATGCCAATCTAGTGTAAATAATACATGGAGGAAATTAAGATCAAATGCATCCAGCCAACAGAACCACTGGCCTTAGTCTAACCCCCCCAGTATGGTCTAGAAGAACCGCCACTGGTTTGTTTCCAGAGCCAACACTGTGCGGAGGTAAGGGATACGAGGAGTCACTCCTAGAGCAAGGCCTGATGTTGATGTTTGCCACCAGGAGCAATGGCTACATAGAGTCATTTTGTGGGCTTACCTCCCACAAGGTAAAATGTGGGGGTAATGTGCTGTGCCACTTGGCTAGCAAGCATGAGTGGAAGGACCCAAATGGATCTGACCTTGGAAAGGAGCAGTGGTTCTGGGAATGTGGAATGTTACCTCTCTGGCATGTGTGGGCCACAA